GGCCAGGGCTGCCAGCCTGAAAGCCCTCTGTCGGAGAGCAGGGTTCCTTCCCGCCCATCCGCATGAGTTCCCAACAGCACGAGGCTGGCCACGGCCCCCTGAGGACCAGGCCCCCTGAGGACCAGGCAGGGCTTTCAAGCCAGGGGAGCCATCAGCATCTCAGGGCTCTCGTTTCATCTTACGTTAAGGATACTACAGACTTATAGGGGCCGTGGTCCTGCTGGAGGGGCCCTAACAGGTGGAAAAGAGTTGGAACTTGTCACAATGAAGGACATGCCGGTGGGGGGGGGGGGGGTAACTGGCCTTGGTCCAGCTGAATTCTTATAAACCCTACAGGGGAGTTAGTGGGGCCTGGTCATGCTTAAAAGACTCTGAGTGCCTCTTCCTAGAGGCTCAGAAATGCCGGGAAATATCTAATGGGGTAAAGCAATCGCATGACGTGGGCTTGGTGTTTTAATCCTCCTGGGAGGTCCTCTGAAATTCCTGCCCGAGCATCTCAACAACCTCTAGATACGGGAAGGACAGGAATCACCTTCCCATTATACAGATGGGAAAAGCGAGGCTGGGGAAGGACAGGGAATGTGATGACACTGTGTGTCTGATGGACATTTCAAAGTCAACACGTCCAGACACTGCCGCACGCTGACAGGCTTGTGCAGAAAGGGCCCCTCGTGGTAGCTGCTGGGGAGGGCACACAGAGGCCGGCCCCGGCCCAAAGGCCTGAAGTCAGGATGCGGAGGGGGAGCCGGGGGACCAGAGATTCAAGAGGCAGAGACGGCAGATGTTACCCCACGATGTGAAGTTTGAGGAGTTCAGCTCCTGGCCCCAAAGCACTCTGTGGAGCAGCGATGCCCAGATTATCTGAGCCCCACCACAGGTGCCGTATGGAAAGCTCAGCCGTCCCATCATAGGGGTGGAGCTGGGATTCGAACTTGGGAGGTCTGGCACTGAAGCTAATATGCTTGGTTACAGCACCCAGCCTCCCCCAGGCAGGAAGGTTGTCTGTCCCGTTCACTGCCGAGGCCCCAGGCCCTGTTATAGTGCCTGGCACATAGTAGGTGCTCGGTAGACGTGGGCCGATGGACCACCCAAACGACCCAGTCTGCCAAAGGGGTTGTGGGGATGGAAATGGCTGGAGCCTGAATGTGACGCGATGCTGTCGCTGTTCCTTTTATTATTAGCTCCTGAATCTCAGGTCTTGGTGCCTTCAGCTTGTGCTAGTTTGGCTCTGCAGCGTGTGCGGTTAGAAGAGAAGAACTGGCTATTTTTGTGCCATTCAGTCGGGCCTGAGGTCTGGGTCACAGGACAGCTTGCGTCATGAGATGTCTGCATCTGACTTGAGTTGTGGGTGCCCTTTAAACGTGGTTGCAGAGCAGAGGACAGGGTTGGCACCAGGCTCCCTGGCTTCTAAGCCACTTACTAATGGGGTCTAGGGCCTGGGGGAGTCTCTAAACCTCCCAGATGGTCGGTTTGCCACCTGTAGAATGGAGAAGGGCAGCATCTCCACCGCAGCCGTTTAACATTAGGTGGGCACTCCCCCTCAGGGAGTTTGGGTTTCCCCACCTGGAGAACACTGACACGCCCCACCACTCAGGGGTGTTGTGAGGCCCAATCGAGATGCCACGTGGGGAAGTGCTTGGAGGGAAAGGGAAGCAGACATGCTGTTGCCTCAAGACCATTATTCTTATTCCTGGCGGTGATGACAGCCTGGGGGAGGGATACAGCTAAGCAAACGGTAGCAAGAAAGCCTGGGCACAGAGCAGCCAGGCTCCCCATATTTAGACATTCGGACATTTTTCCATGGAAAACAATCTGGCCATGGAGCCCAGCACCGGGAGACGCAGCTCACCAACCACAGCGGAGGACCAAGCGGTTTCCCCTCATCCCGCGGAGAAGGGGACTTCCAACCACAAAGCCCGGCAAGGAGGCGCCTGGGAGGGCAGGCGAGGGACCACAGCCAACAGTTCAGGGGGCCGTCCTGGGTCTTGGAATCCACAGCACATGGGACCTTCCTTGAGGCGCTGTCAGACGGGACCCTCCGGCAACCTCCTTAGCTGTAGGTGACATGGAGCAGAGGGAGATGGCCAGCCAAAAGCTAGCCTCCCAGGCTCACTGCTGTTATATCCCACCCGCACAGAAAGAATACCTGTATCTAGACACTAAGTCCTGCCCCGGGTCAGGATGCAGTGCCCCTTATCTAAGCTGATCCCCAGCACCGTCCTGTGAGGTGGGACTGACCACCCACTCACAGGTGGGAAACTGAGGCTCGGAGTGGCGATGTGACTCGCTTTGGACGAAGCTGGGATTCTCAGCCAGCGCCCTCTCCCTCCAGAGCCCAGCTTGGCCCAGGGTGATATCCTTCCAAAACCCACCGCCCTGCAGAGCCGGACGTGAATAAAAAGCTCTCCTGTGGGCTGGTAAGCTGCCTCCAGCCCTAGGCCTCGGTTTCTCCATCTGAGAAACCAGAAGATCCAACTCAATGAAGTAGTTAAATGACAGAGAGGGAGACCCGGGCTCCAATACAGGCTCCGTCCAACACTTCCTGGCTGGGGGACCTTAGGTGAGCTGCTTAACCTCTCTGGTTCCCTAAATGCAACGTGGGGACAATCATGAGATCTACCCAGAGGGTCCCCGAGAGGATATGATGAGGCACCCAGGATGCTGAGCGTGCTGGGGGGGGGGGGTACCATATCTATTATTACTACTATCGCTGTAATTGACAACCACAGCAGCCATCTTGATGCCAGTGTCCCAGGAAGGCCACCGGCGCTGGGACCGCCTGGCTCGGTTATCTCAGCAACAGAGGAGATTAAGTAACTCAAAACAGCCGTGGCCACCAGCTCCAGTTACTAATGATCTGAAAAAGACACTTGATCTTCCTCCCCCACTTCCCAGCTGATGCCGCCGGTGACGGGGCCTGACAGCAGGGGCGGGTGGCTTCTGCCCCCGGAGCAGACCCGCAGCTACACAGCGGACGCGGGCCGCCCACAGGAAGCCGCTGACATCCCACAACAAATGACCACTCGGCAGAAGCCGGCTGCGGCCCACACCTGGCCCACTTCTGAGGCGTGGACGTGGGGAGTGACATGAAGGGTGAGCAGAGGCCTGAGGCGGAGCGGAATCATCACTGAGCTGTGGATAGTGACAGCCCGGGAGCCACCTAAGTGCCCGACCACAGGGGCATGGCGAATGCGTCCAGGCTGACGACGGGTGAGCCTGTGAGGTGCCATCCAACAGCACGTTTGCAAAGCATTTTTAAATGACATGGGTGCGTTCCTGTCATCTGGGCACGCACAGGCAGAGCTGTGTGTACCGGCATCGCTCATGCACTCCCGAGCAGTCAGCCAGGCTCACCTATGGATGAAACTCACAGAGGCAAACATGACGTGGGATCCCGGGCATCAGTCGAAATCTGGTGAAGGGGGCAGCGTTTCTCAGCCTCGGGGCTGTGGCATTTGGGGCCAGGCCCTTCTTGGTGGTGGAGGTGGGGGTGCTGCCCTGTGCCCTGTCGGATGTTTGGCATCATCCCCAGCCTCTGTCCGCTAGCTGCTAGTAGCATCCCCTGGCTGTGGCCATCGAATGATGCCAGGAGACACTGTCAAATGTGCCCTGAAGGTCGGCCCGGGATAAGCGGCACCGGAATAAAGTCAGAGTTTGGTTCATAGAATTGCTCCTATGGTGACGCCCTGGTTACTGTAAGAGGCTAACATGAGGGGACACTGGAACTTGCTCTACTCTCATTGCAGCCTGACTTTCTATAAACCTAAAGCATTCCAAAACGAAGTCTCATTTAAACAAGTAGCGGAGTGGGGGGCACTGTTTTAGCCAGAGGTGTCAGTGAAGACCCTGAGAAGAGGAGATACCGGGAAGAAACCTGCGAGCAGGGAGGAAGGACGGGGCTGAGGGACAGTGGGTGATGCACATTCCCATGCAAAGCTGCAGTCGGGCGGGGAGACCACCAGCCACCACCCTGGACCTGGGCAGCAGTTCCTGGTCCGTTGGTCCCACTCAATCAGACAGGCTTCCTGGGAAAGAGGAGCTAACATGAGCCGGGGAGCAGCTTCCAGGGGTCACAGGAATGTCCCAAATAGAAGAGAGGAAGGCAGCGCGTCCCCACTTTGCAGATGACGAAGCTGAGGCCTGGGGAGGCCAAGGGGCTGCCCAAGGCCACCTGGCTTCGTTGCCATCCGAAGCCTGTGGATCTTCCGCATTCCCGAGCTTCCCCGGAGCTCAACAAGCAAGAGTGCCCGGCTCAGCATTCCAGACACCAGGCGAAGCTGCTACGTGTGAGCCGGGCCATCTTCCGTGACCCGGAGGGATGAGGAAATCGTAGGCACATTGCAAAACCAGCAGCGAGCCACATGCTCTGGGACCTCGTCCCCCACAGGAGGCTGGTGACTGAGTGGAAATCTCTCCTGGCTTCACACCCAGGAAAAACCTTCTAAACCGTCTCGCCTTACCTCTTCATAGTTCAGATGGGGAAACTGAGGCTCGGAGAAGCAAAGACGTGCCCAAGGTCACATAGAGAGTTGGGGCAAAGCCAGGTGAGGGGAGTGGTGTCTCTGTCTACCCTCAAAGCGGCCCCCTGAGTCCTCCCTCCCACCTCCCACCGCCAGACTGTGTGCCGGTTCCTGGGCCCACGACAAGCATGCCAAAGGGTCTGGCGTTTTCTCACACCCACCCCAGCCCTTTGCACATGCTGTTCCCTCTGCCCACCACACCCTTCCCCTTGCCCCACCACACCATCACTGTGTATCCCCCAGAGCTTGTCTTCCTTGGGTGTTCGTGGAACCCCACGATGAGACCATGTTCCCACAGCTCTGGGCATGGCCCCGTCCTCCCACACACACGGTCTTTGCTCCAATGTCTTGTGCAGGGTCCATGTCGACACCAAACTGCAAGTCCCGCAGGTCAGTGACCATGTCTGGATTGCTCACCCTGGGCTCCCAGCACCCGATCCCGGCTCCGAACTGCTGCTGCTCAGTGTGTGTTGAATGACTCTACATTGGTAGCCGGCTGCTGATGCTCCTAGCACCCACACTGAGCTCCCCGTTCCTGGGGATGGCAGCCTGCACCTCAGTCATCTCTGAGTGCACCTCTAAATCTGACACCAGTTCCAACACCACCAAGCAATTCTCCGATACCAGCAGGGTGTCCTACAATTTAAACCAACTTTCACTCTCTCGTCTGAAGTCAGCATCAGATCCCACAGGTGAAGGGCTCAGTCCCACAAGACGCCCTTTCCGCCCCCTCTCCCCCCCCCCCCACACACGTCAGACACCAGTGACAACTCTAGGTTGTCACCTGTATTTCTGAGCGACTGGCTAGAAATCAGAGGCTCCCATGACCCCCTCCTTGGATTCCACTGATTTGCTAAAGTGGCTCTCAGAACTCAGAGAGACATGTTATGAACTAGATGACCAGGCTTCAGCTCAGGAAGAGCCAGATGGCAGCGGTGCCCGGGGCAAGGTATGTGGGGAGGGGCGGAGCTTCTCTGAGTGTGTACCTCTCCCTGAATCTCTGTGTTCACCAACCCAGAAGCTCCTGAACCCCATCCTTTTAGGTTTTTAAGGGGTTGCAATATATAGGCATGATTGATGACATCACTAGCCATTGGTGACCGATTCAACCTCCAGTCCCCTCCCCTCCCTGGAGGTCAGGGCTGGGAAAGTTCCCACCCTCTCATCACTGGTTGGTTTCCCTGGCAACCAGCTCCCATCCTTAACTCAGGTGTGGCATAAGGGAGTTTGTTATGAATATCAAGGCATCTTTATTGTTCTGATCACTTAGGGCGCCACGGGTTTTAGTGGCTCCCAGGGCTGTCAGGCACCAAGAGAACTATTTAAAGAATAGTTTATTTTTTTCCTTAGAGAGGAAGGGAGAGGGAGAGAAACATTGATGTGAGAAACATTGTTCAGCGTCGTCCTGCACGGCCCCTACCAGGGATCAAGCCCACAGCCTGGCACATGCCCTGACCGGGAACCAAACCTACAACCCCTCAGTACACGGGATGATGCTCAACCAACTGAGCAACACCAGCTGGAGCGATGTTTCTTATTATGAATCACAATATCACAGCCTCCCCGACACCAGGCCCACAGTCTGACACCCAGCCGGGCACATCAAGGCCACGAGGACCCTGTGGACGGCAGAGTTCAAAAACACAGGCGACTGTGGGCAACTTATCTCTTCCTCATGCTCTTCGGGACTTTCCAAGTTGTCTACCATGTCCATAGACTGTTCTTGTCATTAAAAACACACAAAACTAAGTCACTATATGTCACCCTACAGGTGTAACATGACCAGGTCCAAAGGTCAATAATCCAAGGATATGGACCAGGAGGGGCTCCTGTTTTTCAACTGCTCCAGGGGCCCGGGAGGGAGGGCCCACCCTGGGGGAGAAGCGGCTGGCGGACGTCTCCTAAAAGTGTATTTTTAGGGCCTCCGGAAAATTCCCTGGGCGAGAGGCATCTGAAGTATTTGCAAACATTCAGCAGGAGGAAAAATAATATTTTCCAAGTCTTTCCCCTTTTGGGCGTTCTCAACACTGGCAAATGTTCTAGAAAACTCCAAGACCCACCCGTGACAATTCCTCATTAAGCCCCTCTGATCACGGAGACCTGATGAATGTCATCTAAACCACCATCACCTACTGCCCACCTTGTAGTGTCACAGATGAAAAAAACAGAGGCCCAGAGAGGGCAAGCGACTTGTCGGGGACACACAGCAGGTCAGCCTCAGAGTCAGAACAAGATTTGAAAAGCACTTCATACCCCAAAACCACTTCCTCATGGGTTCCCTGCCTTTGGCATTTCGCCAGAAAAAGTTTCGGGGTTTTTTCTGTTATATAGAGGAGAGAACGCAACCACATGCGGGTTTCCACTTTTTCCGTTTGCTCAGTAAGTTCACTGAAAGGAAAACGAAATCTATTCTTCTCATCTCATAAAAGCCGGGGCATTTTCACACACACACAAAAGCAAGAGGATATCATTTCAGAATACAGAAGAGCCCTTTAAATCAGAGAAATGTCACTCTCGGGAAAACTCACCAAAGCTGTCCTTGTTTGTCTGGTCTCCCCCGCCCCTCGGGGCCACTTGTGACCGCCTGTGGACCACTGGTCCCGAGAGTCAGGATTCCCTGCTCTTCCACAGCCCCCCTCCCTTCCCCAACACCCCGGCTCCTTGAAACCACCACCATTTGTTAAAGAAAACAGAGACGGTGCTGGCAGGCAGAGCCCAGAGGCAAACTTGGCGTGAGGCGGAGGAGAAGGAGGCGGAGAAGGAAGGAGGAGAGGAGAAGCGGCAGCCTGGCGCCACTCACCCAGAGGTAGCGCAGGAGCTTGAGGAGGCTGGGGCAGTAATAGTACTCCATCGCCCTGCCGCGCCGGGCTGTGCTGAGCGCATCCGAGTGCTTCCCGTTTTCCTCGGGAGGGGGCGGCTCTTCCCTCTGGGCTGGTCACGCAGGAATCAAGTTCACGGCGGCATGAATCATTCAGAGGCCGGCTGGCAGCCAGGGGACCAGCCAGACACCCTGCGCCCTGCTAATGGCCACGCTGCCTGCCGGGCGGGGAGCCACTGCTCAGGTCCCATGAGCCTGTGAACCCGTGAGCCCGCCCGCAGCACCTCTGGTGGCCTGTCCAGCGGGGCGGGGCCAGGGGTGGCTCCTCCTCAAGCCCTCCTGGAGGTGCTGGGGGACGGCAGGGTTCCCAGCTGGGTGGCAGGAAGAGCCAGCATATGTGTGTGAGACAGTGTGATTGTGTGTGAATGTGAGTTTTACACAAGGGTGTGTTTGTGCTAGTGTGTGGATGTGTGTGCTGGTGCGTGTGCACGCATGGTGTGAGGGAACGTGTGAGCAGCGGTGTGTGTGGTTTCTCCCCAAACCGCACATGGAGGGGGAGGGCCCCCAGCTCCTGACTCAGAAAGGAAATAAATTAACTTAGTCCCTTCTGGCCTCAGTCAGGTTCCCTCTACTGCTGAGCAGCCATGGAAGGAGCACCTGGTTGTCCCCATGACACAGAGGGAAAAACCGAGGCCCAGAGGGGACTGATTGGTCAAGGCCACACAGCGTGTTAGAAAACGAGCCAAGGCTGGAATGCAGGCCTCCTGACCATGAGTCCTGGACTCCGTTCACTCCTGAGAGGGTGGGGCGCTGAGGACGGGAGAGACCAGCTCTCAGGGTCACCATCTGCCCGCTGCACCTGGGGGTGGGAGGAGCATCCATTTTCAGGGGCTAAGAATGCAAATTACAGCTCCCAAGGCCACCCCAAGGTGACCTGGCTTAGATGCCTCCTTCACAGGAGCATGATCTTGCCAAGTCCCTGCACCGCTCTGAGCCTCGGTGCCTCTTCTGTGCGATGGGAGGGCGCCTTGTTCGGGTGGATGAGGTAGAATCACACACCGAGCTTAGGCCACACAGCGCTCCCACGGGGAGGCCTTATCCTGCCCACCAGCCGGAGGAAGAGGCCGAAGTTCAAAGGCATCGGGGTGTGCGGCTACTCAGCGCGAGGGCAGCCCCAGAGCCCCTGCCAAGCGCCCCCCTTTCCAAGGAGGAAGAAGAGGAAGGGGTGCAGGCACTTGGTAGAGGTGCCAGCTCCCGCTCCGCCGGCCCCTGGGCCCATCTGGTCCACAGGCTTCAGCCCCAGCCCAGCACGGGCAGAGGCACAGCCACTGGCAGGAAATCCCCTGGACACCAGGGAGAAGCTGAGCTCAGCGGCTGAGGAAACCACAGCAACTTCAAAGCTCTTCGCAAGCCGGCCGTGGCTTCCTCCATCGCTGCACACATCCGCAGGCCATGGGCCCAGCACTCTCTGCCACTGAGAGTGCAGCCGGAGGCCGAGCCCTGCTCATTCTCCCATCACTGCCCCCACCCCACCCTCCACACACACAGTGCAGTCAGAAGGCCAGACCCTGATCACTCCCCCCATTCCCCCTCCACGCCCCCCTCCCTCAACACACACAGTGCAGCCGGAAGACCGAGCCCTGCTCACTCCCCGCCCTCCCACACCACTAGCTGCCCATATAGGCCGGCTACATAGCTGGGGTATGTGTGTGTGCGTGTGTGTGCGCGTGTGTGTGCAGGAGGGGGGGGGTTGACTACATAACAGTAAAGTCTGGGAGCTGGGCCCTGCTAACTGAGGGACTAATGGAACAGTGACACAGGTGGCCCTTTCCCCCAGAGCAGAGGCCCCCCACCGCACCCCTCACCCCAGGTGGAAGTGACCCCTACCTAGTCTGGGTTATCCCTCTGGTCAGCCGGCCCCACCCTGCGCCGTGGGACCCTTCTCCCCTGGCCAGGAGAACCACCTGCACTAAAGTGACAATGGTACCCCACACATTGGAAGCCTTCCCTGGCTCCCCAACAAACGGCTCTCTCCCCCCACACACCTTGCCCACCTCCACCACCTGACCCCACCTCCGCCCCGCCCACCCTCAGGACGCTTGTTCTGCTATTCCTGGAAAGCGGCCCTCAGAAAGATGTGTCAACCCAGCACCTTAACTGGAAAAAGATCTTTATCGATATAACCAAGTTAAGGGTGTTGAAATGAGATCGTCCAGGATGTCCTGGTATTGGCCCTAAATCCAGTGCGTATAATGTAAGAGCCTGAAGGGAAGTCGCAAACACAGGACAGGCGGGGACAGAGGCAGCACTGGGGCATGCTGGGAACGCCTGGGGCCCCAGGAGCTGCAAGAGGCAGGACGGGGCCTCCCCAGTTTCCTTGCAAGGAGCAGGGCCCTTCCCTTGCTGACACCTCGATTCCTGACTTCTGGCCTCGCAGCTGTGAGAGGATAAATATCTATTGTTTTCGGCTGTCAAGGGTGTGGTAACTCCCATGGCAGCCCCGAAAGAGAATGTGCTCCCCCTTCCTCTTCCCTCCTATTCCTGGTGAGGTCTCCAGCTGAAGACCCAACCCTCCTGCCTCCTCCGCAGCCTCCAGTCAGGCCAAAGGCAGCCCCCCACCCCCACCCCTCGGGGTCCCAGAGCACCTCTTCTGGGGAACATTCTTCCTCTTTGTAATTCCTCCTTCAACCTCTCCTCCCAGGTCAGCTCTCCCAGGGCCCACCCGGTCAGCCTGGCTGCCCGCATCCTAACACAACACCTGGCGGCAGCAGGCCCTGGGACAATTCTCATTAACATTATTCATTCCTTCCAAAAAAAAGACGGACTGTCCAAACCATCCTGTAAATCTACTCAATGTGCTTAGCTTTTGGCAGAAACTCCCATCCATAAAAAAGATGGGAGGTTTTTAAATTGACATCAGCGTTCGAAAAACAAAACATATACACACACCAAACAGATAGAAAACTGGCACCCCCTCCCGGGAGGAATTTTGCCTGGGTGTTAGTTTTGGGCCTGGGGGGCGGGTGTGAAGAAGAGGACAGAGAAGGCAGGTGCACTGTTTTGTTTTTTTAATTAGTTGCCAACAGTTAGGCATCAGGAGAATTTCATGTGGCAATGCAGACCCCTGGCCTCTCTATAAAGACGGCAGGAGGGCCTCCCCGTGGGTCTGCATTCCTGTGTGGGGACAGGCAGGCACTGCACCTACTGTCTGGGGCCTGGATCCACCTCATTCCTCCCACTCCCCACAGCCCTGGCCCAGACCACATGCTGGCCCTCCCAGCGTCTGAAGGCTGTAAAATGGATTTTTAGAGAGAAAGGAAAGGAGAGGAGGCGGGGAGAAGGAAAGAAAGAGGAAGAGAGAGAGAGGGAGAGAAATCAATGTGAGAAGGAGACACCCATTGGCTGCCTCCTGCACACCACCTACCGGGGATCAAGAATGCAACCCAGGCATGTGCCCTGACCAGGAATCGAACCAGCGACCTTTCAGTGCAAGGGACGATGCCCAAGCAACTGAGCCACGCCAGCCAGGGCACCGGCATCTGAATTTACAGACCTAGGGAGAGGATGGCATGTCTCCTAGAGGCAGCCAGG